ACCAGATTGGTCAGTTGGTTGTTGAGCTATGACCTCTGGAAGTCTTGGTGCTGCTATTCCGAGAAGTAGCTGCACCATTCTCTGCTCACGTCAACTAGGGTCATCCGGAGACTAGTTGACAATTGGTTAATAATAACTCACTGGTTGAGTTTGTTATCTTCGTCATGCACTCTAAGCTATGCACATAGAAGAGTCATTGATAAGTCCTTTGACGGAGCTGATCACTCCACTCGGGAAAAGAGCGGGGAAGTTAGTTTTCAGGGTCAAAGGGTGTTTGCACCGCGAAGACACTAAATCATTAGTATGGCAGGTACATAGTCAGTACGGGATTGGATGTAGGCCGCGACCACCCAGACGCGGAATATAAACATCGAGGTGCCTCCCGAGCTTTTAAAACCTGCTTGAATGAGTAGACTCGCCCTTCAGGGCCTACGTGGCTTGCTACTAATCTTTCCTTTGTCTTTTTAGGATTTCTCAGCGGGTTTTCCTGGCCCTTCCTGCTTTCTTCTTAGTTAGGATTTCCTTGTTCGTCCATCTAGCCGGGCTTGGGTTTCTTTTCTTTGAGGCAAGATGTGTGGTTGGCTCCATACCAGAGGGGCTTGGGGGGTTGGCTTTTTCCTGTGGCGAGAGGAGGGATATGGGTTTTTTGTCGTCATAGCTAGCGCTCCATACGTTTTTTGTACCCTAAACAAATAATCAATGAGTTAAACAAAAAAAAAAAAAAAATAATCCCCCAGCTTTTAAAATCTATCATCAGCGACCGGAGAAGAGATCTTATCAATATATTCGTTCTACTTTACTTCTATCTTTACAAGCCTTCTTGACTATCTCTGAGACAGAAGATTACAGGGCCTAGTGTATACTCGCTTGACTTTAGAGTTACCTACCCCCTAACAGAAATGGAGACAGAGGAGGAAAGGGAATGAAGGAAAGGGGAACTTGAAGAAGGAAGAGTTAGTAGGGGGTTGTGGGAGTGAGGAAAGGTACAAGTATGCTAAGCAGTATCTCACTATTTCCAACAGGGGTTAATGGTATTGGGGTGTTTTGGGGGTAGCCATCATGTACCTTAGTTTCTATATTGAACTGTTAGAAAAAGCCTTGCCACTCCTACTTTAAGAAATTGTAAATACCTTAGATGATTCTCTCTTTCAACAAAACAATGTATGTGTTCATACTACATGTGACACTCTTCAGTAGTTCAAAGATAGTACTATTGATCTCAAAGACCACCAACTCCTCTCTTCTGATTTCAATCTCATTGAGCACTCTTGGATAGAATTAAAGCGATAGCTTCATCTACAGTATCCTGATATAATGGATACCAACAGAGGACCAGAAAAGTTACAGGAACAACTTGTAAAGATTCTGTCTCTAGTCTGGCAAAAAATCCCTGATAGTTTTTTTAAAAAAACTTTGATGCTCAATACCCTCACATGTAGCAGCAGTTATTTATACCAAAGGCTGGTATACAAGATATTAAGTCTGGATATTCTCTATAGTGGTAACGGATATTATGTATGAGCTTGTTTTTTTTCTTGATTTCGTATAGTTTTATCTCACATTCTATATTCTCCAAAATAAATAGTATTGCATTATTGTATAGCAGGATACTAGTACAGACTTTAGCTCATATTATGCTATCACTAAAACTTTTATCTAGTGGCTGTAATTACCTATTATGATTTCAACTAGTACAAGTTTGAATTTATCCAATTCTATCAGATATATCTGCCAACTAATTCTATAACAATATCAAGTATAAGATTCAAAAAGAGAACAAGATACAGAGATCTGCATACTACTTCTTAAAATATTGGAAATCCTTATAGACTATATAAAACCAATGATAAACTTTATCATATATTATCTTATTAGCTAATACCTAATAACTTATAAGATTAATATGCTGAACAGAGCCCAAATAACAAAATTATAATAATTCATTTGAAATTACTCTACTTTTACCAGCTTTATACAATACTGGCCTATATTTCTACTAGTATACTTTAGAGATATATCATAATTCTTCTTCCTGAATATTTATTAACTTGATCTTAATTGATTTAAACTTATATTATTCATCCTGATTGATTTTTAGAAAATGATACATTTAATTCATAATAATAATAGTTTTAATTGTTCTTAATATAGGCTGCTAAATTTTCACAAAAAATATCATGGTCATCATTGGAACAATAATTATTACATTTATTTTGTTCGAGGATTCATTCTGAGTTTAGTCCTCTACAGGAATATCTCTTTTAACTTAAACAAATATCAACATTTTCCAGGCATACAGTAGTATAGAGACTACTCATTAGATATATTAGACCTCGTTATCTGGTATTTCCAGTGCTGTTCGCAGGTTGAATGACTTATTCCTGGCAAGTTAAGATACTTTTGCTAAGCCAGAGCCATTGAGCGCCTGCTCTTGCTACCAATTCCGAACCATATTCACTCGGGGGACTCATGACACCAAAAGCGCGATTCCCTTGCTCAGATTCCCTTGTCGAAAAAACCAAGCCCAGAGAAAACAGGCAAAGCTAATTTCACGTGACGTTATACAGACCTCCCCTAAAACTCTGTGGTTGTTGGATTTGTTGGGGGCCAGGGTCGATTTCGGAAACTCGGTATCATACAGGCAAACGATTGCTCCGCAACTTAAGAAACCGGCCTAAACTGCGGTGGGCTTAGCCGAGAATGTTGATGAGGTCGCAAGCACCAGCTAGCGAGATCCGGCAAGCTCAGATCGCTCCGGATATGCCGCGGCGGGGAAGGGCTGATCGCTCCCGGGATGTTTGGTCTCTGAACACCTGGATTAGAGGCCTACCTCCCCCTGACACAGTGGTTTGTCCGGGATTTTACAGTACCTCGTTTGGGGATAAAACGGGTATACTATCTAGTTCAAGCCGGTCCAAAATAGCTCTCCGGATAAGGTCGTACAAGGGAGCCTTCCTTCGGGTTTGGGGCGTTAGTGGGGGCTCGGAATACCTACCTTAAGCCAGAGATATTCCCTCCCCCAAAATCACATGCCTATTGGCATAGTGCAGCGAAAGACACATTTTGTCAGGATATCCCCCTCGCGCCCTTTTCCAAACAACAAGCTTCTGCTAAACCCCAACTTTGGCTAATTTCCGACAAAACTGTCACCCTTGATACTCATGGAATATCACTCGACTTTGTATTTCTACGATTTTTTAGATTATGAGTTCGCCAGGATGTTTCGTAAACTCTTGAAACTTCCGAGCGGGTTTTCTCGGCCTGGAACTTGTTTGCTTGATCACCACTTAAGCCGATCCTCGGGGGGCGGGAGTGCAAATCGGTGCCCAGGTGGTGGAGTGATTTAGTGATGGTTGTGGTCGGGAGATCATTTTTACCCGGGGCGATCTTACTGTCTAGTATAGTGCAGCAGCGGTATACTAGCTGAGGTTGCGAAGACTGTAAAAGAATTTTTCATACTTCTGGTAGAATGTTTTATTTAAAATGTAATGTGTGAGGTTCGATACGCCCATACAGTCAGTGAAGCATTACTATAGGTGGAACAAAGTAAATGGTATGATATTAATTGAGTTGGAGTTACACTTACATGCGGTGGTAATGGAACTTCTAGTTGAGTACTTCTCAACCCATTGGAAACCCTTTCAAAATCAAATATTATATTCTCCGTAGAAATCGGCCTTCTAGTTCAGGGTAGCCTCTTTCCAAGTTACTATCTTGATAAATATATATTAGGTAACTTCGCCCAGGAAACTGACAGTAATTAACATGTCCTGGACATTCAGCGCCACCGCTGGGTATGGTGCCGACATCTTGACCTGTCGTATTTCTAAACCCCGATCCCTCCACAAAAGCTTGAGGCATTACCATTATTATTTTCAATTAACCTGTAGAGGATTATCCGCTCTATCATCATATAGGGCCATAATTAATGGGAGTAGTGGCCGAAGCTCTTTTGGGGGGGGGCTGAAGCTGAGCAATATTTCCCCTTGTTATCGTACTGCGAAATTCTTACAACCTACAGATTGTAGTGTATCATACTCTTTGATCACTGGGGTCAAATATTGCACACTCCACTTTGGATGAGATTAGGTCTGCGGGTGGAAATGAATCGGTTGTACGGCAACACGGGCACACAAGTGTTTTTTTTTTTCAAAATTGTGGCTGCAGGCTCGGGGTGTGTGGTCGCAGACCAATCCCATCACCCCAAGCAAGAAGAGAAGACCAGAGTTAACCATAGTTGGGTGACAAGTAACTGAGGGTGGCCCGGTAAGCAACTGGAAGTACTTTTTTCCGGCTAATATTCGATAACTTATATGGTTTCTGGTGCTACAGGGTGGTTCGGTTATTGTCACCTAACGATATCCCGTATTTTCTCGAGTTATACCGTTTTTCGCCAAGATAAAGCGTGATTCGAGGTTGGATGCTGGCATGTATCTGATGTCGGCCCTGTAGACTGCAGGCACTAACGGCTGAAATTAATCGTATGGCAACCCATGGAAAACTGATCTCGGGTGTGTAGCACACTGCCCCGAATACCGGTACTCTACACTAAAAATCTGTGATTAGCATGTGAAACTCTGTCAACAAATAAATTGCTCCCCCCACAGATGCATGATAATGGACACCAAAACCTAACCCTTCTTGCCTATATGGAGTTTGCACAAAATCTGTATCCGACTAGCATTTGCTTGACCGGAGAAACAAAGTTTGCGGAATTAGAGGAGAATGGTTTCTTAGCAGTTACATATACTATAGAGCTTTTCGCAACTATTGTTTTTTATAGTATGTTTACCGGTAAAGTTAATATAGTATTTTGTCAGTGTCTGGTGTCTGTTTCGGATGACAGCACCATAAACTCTGTGACTTGGCGAAAAACCATAACACGAGAATATATGCTAGCCCCAATCGAGTATCGGGTAGTGCACTACACTGTGTGCCTTGGAATTACCCGGCTTGACTTGTACCTATGATACTTTGAATTTATGCCTCTTTATAGAAATGCGCTCAAAAGTTCTAGATCATTTCCTCCACACCACCGTCTACAGATATGCCTATGGTATTGGGATTCCCTCCCCTGGTTTTCAGGGTCAAACAGCTTCACACTCATGTTTTTACTTTGTTTCCCTCCTTATTTTCTCTACGCGACATCAAGGAGACGGTCCTGTATATAAAGGGGGCCTGTGTCCCCTTCGCTAAGGAGAATTAGGGACGAGAATACCCGTCAATCGTCCTTCTTACCTCTTCCTCTTCACGCCTACCCTTGATGCCTTCTTCATACTGAGTTCGTACTTTTTTCAAGGGTTATTAGGGTCGCGCTGTGCCTATCGTTCCACAATTTCGGGATCACTCGTCCTCCCCCACAAGAAACGAGGAAAACCCTTACCGACGTCAACCGCGAAAAACCCGGGCCTGACCCTCAAGCACAACTGATCAGCAGATCACCAAACCTCTTACTCGGCCTCTCCTTTCCCTCTCTCACTTCGCCCCAGCTAGAAAACCCCACCACCCCATCAGGCAGAATTGAATCCTCCGGACAAACAAACAGATCTACACCAAGATCATTAACCCAACCATGAGAATCCTCTTGATAGACGCCTATGACTCATTTTCTCAGAACCTCGCCCAATTGGTAACTTCTGCCACCGGGGCTACGGTTTACACTATCCGCATCGATGATTTTGCGGACATCTCGCTTCTAAAGCCTCACCTGCCCTCTTTCGATGCTGTGGTTATAGGGCCCGGCCCGGGCTCGCCGGAGGTTGAGGCGGACATTGGTGTCGTGAATGACGTTTGGAAGTTATCTGGCGAGGACGTCCTCCCCGTATTTGGCGTTTGCCTGGGGTTACAGAGCCTTGTCTTCTCACACGGAGGGCGGGTGGACAGATTGGGCACCGTGAAGCACGGCCTACTTAACGAGATCGCGCACACTGGGGAAGGGCTTTTTGAGGGAGTTGGGAAGATCAATGTTGTTAGGTACCATTCTTTGCATGGAATTGTTGAGATCGGCGGGGATGTGGAGGAGATTGCTTGGGCGGACGATGAGAATGGTAGGGTCGTTATGGGTGTCAGACATGTATCGAAGCCTTTCTGGGGTGTGCAGTATCATCCTGAGTCGGTTTGTTCCGAGGGTGGAAGTGAGATTGTCGGGAACTTTTGGAAAATGGCGACGGACTGGAATACCAGTCGGGGTAGGGTTGCAAAAGCGTTGAGGGCGGATTGGAAAGGGCAGTCGAGAGAGAAGAGTCTCATGGAGTTGCAAGCAAACTCTGAGCGCGGAAAGCTGGGCGGTAGCCAGAAGGTGGAGGTTAGGACCGAAGATATTTATGGGAAGGGGATTTCCGCCAGCAGGATTTGTGAGATAGTGGGAGTTGAGGAAGCCGACGAGTTTATTCTCTTGGAATCTGCAGCTGTTCCGGGAAGGTTCAGCATCATTGGGGTTTTAACCCCCGGCCTGACACAACGGATTAGTTACTCTTGCGGTGATAACTTTCTGAAGCTATCCTATACCGGGGGTAACTCCTCGGAAACTGAGGTTGATCTACGGGATTATGGAGGCAGCATATGGAGATTCCTGGCAAAATACATGGACCAGCGCACGGCCACTGGAGGCAGGGATGATTCGCCCTTTTGGGGTGGATTGGTCGGATATTTCAACTACGAGACTGGCGTCAGCAGTCTTGATATACCCATCAAACCGCGCAAAGAGGTCGAAGGAATGAAGAGGAGGTCGGATGTCAACCTGGCTTTTGTGGAGAGGAGTATAGTCCTAGACGGACAAACTGGGAAGATTTATGTCCAAACTCTCCTCCCTTCCGCTGCGGATGGGAATTGGTTAGAGTCTACCAAGAGACGGCTTCAACAGGAAGCCGACATGGCGATTACGCCGGCTGCTACTCCTCCGCCAGAGCCTTCCCCGAAACGTCCCCGCCGATCTTATGAGACGTCTCCTCCAAAACTATCGCCAGTCGTATACAAGCCAGACGCTGAAAAATATATGCAAAATGTCAAAACTTGTCAATCTTATCTTTCGACCGGCGACTCCTACGAGCTCTGCTTAACCGCCACTACTAAAATTCATCTGGAGCCGACAAACCCCTGGGCGCTCTACCGGCACCTATGCGCTCGTAACCCCGCTCCTTATGCATCGTACTTTCGTCTCTCGAAAGCCACTCTCCTCTCTTCGTCCCCTGAGCGTTTCCTCTCTTGGTCCCGCACCGGAGCTTGCCAACTCTGTCCCATTAAGGGCACCGTGAAAAAGACTCCCACAACAACCTACGACTCGGCCAGCGTTATATTAAACACACCCAAGGAGCGTGCGGAGAATCTGATGATCGTGGACCTCATTCGCCACGACCTCCACCGCCTTGCAACAGATGTCTCCATGGAGAAACTAATGGTCGTTGAGGAATACGCTTCCGTTTACCAGCTTGTATCTGTTATCACTGGATCTGTGGATCCCCAAGACGGCATGACCGGATTCGACGTACTCGCCCGTAGCCTACCACCAGGAAGCATGACCGGCGCGCCGAAGAAACGAAGCATAGAAATCCTGCAGGAGATCGAAGAAACAGAGAGAGGGATTTACAGTGGTGTCTTGGGCTACTGGAGTGTTTGTGGCGCTGGCGACTGGAACGTGATTATTCGTTCCGCGTTCAGGTATGACGACGAGGTTGCCACTGCAGAGGATGGGAGCCAGAAGGAGGTTTGGAGGATTGGAGCTGGTGGCGCAGTTACGGCTTTGAGTGGGCCTAAGGCAGAGTGGGAGGAGATGGACGTTAAGCTTAGTGAGTTGCTCTCTTTATTGTGTCGTAAAGTTGGTGATGTGAGGCTAATTGTTACAGATTCGACTTTGAGAGCTTTCGTGGGCGATTTTTGAGAAATTTCGTCTCGAGGGCTCACGCTGTGGACATTCTGAAGCAAGTGAGGTGTAAACTGTGGGATTTGTTTTTTTTTTCATGGTTTTCAGAGATTTTTCTTCCCTTTTCTCCGGTATTTCACTAGCTTCACTTACCTGGATGTCTTTACTGTTACATATACCCCTTGGATTCCTGCTTTTTGTTTTCTTCTGTTTTGTTCTCACTCGTTGGCGCGCCGTTCGACTGGCCGATCGTTCATGGCGGGGCGGGCAGGTTCCTTTTTTTTTCCGGACTTTTTGCGTTGCTGTGGAGTCTTTGAATTTCTGGGCCTGGTGGCTGCTTTCAGGCTTGCTGCTTTCGCTGAGAGATATAATGGCCCATGTTTTGTTGTTTTTCGCCGAAGTTGTGCCTCTTTCATAAAGTGGCTTGTTGAGCGATTACATATACTGGCACCATAAAAGCTTTTGCGATCTGCTATCCCTCTCAGGTCGTTAGCCCCAGGATTCAGAGACAAAAGTTCTTGAGTAGGAGGATCAGTGCCTACCTGACACGGTGTAGTCTGAGTAAATTGGACGTGTTAGATCTCAATAATAGTATTTGCACTTCCATTAGCCTACCAAACTGAATTGTGGGCTGATAACACAGTTTACAGGGATACCCCGATATCAAATTGGAAGGGTTTTTATGGTATGGTACCGGAAGACTAACCTAATTTTCATACAAACAGTTTGACAATTTTGTATGCGACGCCAAATTTAACAGTGGGAAAAACTCTTGTACAACCATTTAGGTTATATAACTCTACCTTTATAATATTTCCTTTAACACTGGCATGATTGTATCGGGATACTAATCATACTGCAGGAGATACAATAGGTGCTAGTTGCTACTAGTCAGTCAAAGCAAGAACAGTAGAGTTAAGGGAGACTTCAAGACAGTATAATGAGCCTGGGTAACAAGACTTGCCAGTAGAAGTAACTGTCTGACTACTAGTAAGTATATTAGAAATACTGTTAATCAAAGTCAGTAGCTACTAAAGTAAAATCAGGTACTTTTAAACACACAAAATTCATCTATATTCAGCATGGATGATACAAACAATCTAAGTATTAGCCAGGACTTCAAAACAGCATATAAGACAAACTAGGTATTAAATAACATTTGAAAAAATATATTATAAAAAGTAACTAGTAGGTATCAAATAATACCTTAAGTACATATAAAAAATCAAACATTTTACCTGATCTATGTACCTACAAAGTATATACTTACTCTAGAGTTGCTTGGAGATACCCTTTAGATAGAGTGCTTGTATTAGGGCTACTAACAGGTTTTTATGACTTGAAATAATAGTAGGCATCTACTCCATAGTAGGATCCCATATATTTGGGCCTAAAGACTTAATTTTTAACAGGCAGGAGCCTAGTACAAATATATCCACTGTAAAATCCTAGTTCTCAATGCAAATGAGGTATTATCTCTTTTCTTTTTAACTTTTCTTTCAAATTTTTTTTTTTTAGCACTCACTAATAAAGGACTGTAAACATAGTATTACTACATTATTATTGTATCAAATAACATCAGTGCTTTAGGAAGTCGGCCCTACTAAACCCACGATCTCCCCCAGAATTGAATGCCCAAGTGTCCCCCGTTGCATCCATCAAGGTGCTATGTCCAGACGGCACTTACTATAACAGAAAAATAGCACATCAGCGAGCCTAGCCCTTACACCCAAGTGGTTGAAGGTCCGTCATTAGCACACAAGCCAAGATCGTAGTGAATTACGGGGTGTTTGGCGTATCGTAATTTGTACAGTCGCACCTCGCTATCCCGGATGGCCAAAATCCGAGGAATCTGTCCGGTACAGCGAGGGATCCGGGACAGCGGGTGAGGTTTTGGTGGAAAGAAACCCAGAGTTCACCGAGATTCATACGGGACAGCGAGGTATCCGGATTATAGAGATCCGGGACAGTGGGGTTTGAATGTATTTCAAAATCAGGTCTTGGCAATTTCAACTCAAATTATAACTGGTAAAACAACGTAGGATCAGGTATAATTTGAGTTTAAATTGCCAAGACCCTTTCGAAATCAAATTACGGTACGCCAAACACCCCTCTAGCATGGCAAGCTAACCACTACTCGAGCGGTGTATGGCATCAAATTGGCCTTGAAACCGATCTCGGTATGTAAAATACTCGTACCTACAGATCACCTTTATTGCTGATGCACGGTTTTGGTAGCTCTGGTCGTTTTCTTGCGGCTTTTGTAGAGCTCAAGCCCGACCGAAACTGCAACAGCGGCCAAGCGTGAGTCCCCCTAGCCTTTTATCCTTGACTCTTGTATTCGTAGGTACAGTACTCGAGTATCATACAACATACCACTTCCTAATGCCGACTCAAACATCGCAATATCCTCCCTGCAGGAGGCTTCCGCTCTTACAAGTTGCCCCCTACACGCAACCCCTCCATTCTTTTTTATTTTATTTGCCCGGGCGCAATTACCCCCCCGCCTTAATTGGTAAAACGCTGCTCGAACAGCGAGTTTTAAGGTTAGATCGATCGTCGGCTTTGTGTGGTTTGCTGAAGAAAGGATGGGCTCGATTTGGTTAAATCTCCGGCTTCCCCGCACGTCGCCTTTCGGCTATTTATGGGGGTGGAAGAGCTCAATCCCAGGTCACCGAAGTTTTCGCACAGGAGGATCCACCGGCAGTACATAGGCTTCGGTAGTTGTGGGAGGATTGGAAAGAGATATACTCGAGTGCTCGAGCACAAGCGGAAAAGTGGCTAGGGTGCGGGTGCAAGCAATACCTTTGGTTGGGTAATTGGAGCGGGTGAGACGAGGGGTGGCCCATGATGCATTGTCGAATCGTAGCTCTTATTCGTAGGAATAGGTAGTCTGTAAACTACTACTAACATAAATAAATAACTACAAGTGGTCTAGATATGTAAGTATCTTTCAGCTGTAGGTATCCTTTTAAAGAAGAAAAATTAAAAAAATTGAAGATCGGTTCCTGTCAGGGATTTGGCTGGCTTTTTTTTTAGGGAGAACCACTTCAAAGTATCAGAGTATGATATACCGCGAGTGTGTATAGACCCCACCTCCCCCTCTCCAGGGCGTGTTTTCTTATTTTCTTTCCTGTGAGACTTTTAGGGAACGATATCGCGGGGAACATGTTTTGAAAAAAACCGGGCGGAAAATGACTCAGCGGATGATGGGTCCTTTTCCTGCTCGTGCATGTCGAGCTCTCACTATCAACCAGCAAGTGATCTCTGGTACGTAGCGTACAAGTACCATGCGTTCACAGATTGTATGAGGTTGCGGGTGCTGCCTTGGTGAGAGAGAAACCACAAAAACGGCCCTCTAATCAAGAGCAGTTTCATTCAGAGTAGGCTGACCGGGTAACTCCCAGCATCAGTAGCCGTCTAGTCACACACATACCTTACCCAAGGTCCGACCCCGGGGAAAGAATACCTATATGAAGTCGGCACATATCTCCGCGGGGGGGCAACCTTGGCATTGGAGCTACTTCAAAAGCTACCCTCAAGGTCACATTTATGGTTCCGAAGCTCTGTCAGGGTCGGGGGTTGCGGGGACCATTGGAAAGGGTCCGCCAGATCGCGGGGAAAGCCAAGGCTAATACCGTGGCGGAAAGGGAGAAGGAGAAAGAGGACACCGGTACGATATCGCTGCTACCATTGACTACCGTGGCCCCGACTGGGGTTCTGGCCCATCATGTATGGGGGAGCCGCTACCTCCACTATCAGTGCCAAGGAGGCTGCCCCGCCCAAGGGCTCCCTGAGAGGCGCCGGACGCCCCAAGTGTTGGATCATGGCAGAGTTGGTGGAGGAGTCACTCGTAATGCGGTGACATTAAACTTCGTGAACAGAGGTCTAGAAATATGGCAAGGGGCATCTGTCGCCGGGGCACTTGGCGAGGAAGATATTTTACTCAATTTCAATACTCGGGGGATCTCCAGCCACCACCCGAATCAGGACTATGGCTCTGTTAGATTATGGGGTGGGTGATTCTCTACAGATTGTGATAATAGAGAGAAAATATGAGCCGGAATATGATATCATAATAATTATTATCTCAAGTTTTCCTGGGGATATAAGGGTTTATGTTTAGATCAAAACTCCGTCGGGAAATTTCTTTGGCAAAATCAGTTGCTAGGATATCTGGCAAGTTATTAGCCTACAGCTGAGTAATGAGACTACATGCTTAGCAGATTAGTATACTATTACCAAGCCCTAACGAACGTCTGCCTGTTCCTGCTACAAAGGCCCTCCCAATACAAAACCAGCACGGGAAACTGCCCTATCCCACCCTCCAACCAGTCCTACGTACCAAGGAGAAAGCGTTATTGGTGTTTATCGCATGAAACCCAAGCACCGGTACAAGGGACAAGCGTAAAGGTGGTACGGTGCGGGGGTGGGTGGGATCGACTGTGGTAAAAGTTCTGGCGCAGCTCAACCACACTATCCTTGCAGAGAGAAAATGTGTTTAGATGGTGAAGGGCCTTTAAAATGACACTTGTCATGGCACTGTTCCCCAACTTCAAAGTCTTAGCACCGTACGGGTGGGGCACGAAAGGTGGGCGGGCACATGCTGTTTTGCTGCGAAAATGTCAGATCTTGTACCAAGTTATTCTATTGTATTATTTTCTATATACAAGTTTCCACCAGAGTTCCCAACTTCAATTGTAGAATTAACTGAATTTAAATTCTCTGAAGAGCAGCAGTTATAAGTAACAAAACTTTCCTCAAACTTGTATCAAGACTCTTAATTTTAATAGGAAAGCTGTATCTTGGTGAAATTTGAAAGCCCAACTGTATACTACCCCTCTAGAGCATGGTATTGACATCTTTTCTGAATACTGTATAACATTTATAGATTTTTGATACAGGTATTGGTACTGGAATAAGCCCATGGGCTTAACTGGTTTTGGTATAAACTATCATGTGCCTACTTACTTTTTTAGCCCTATCTGCATTCTTGGACTTCACTCCTATGGGCAAGAAATAATGCGTAATGTTATGACAGATGAAAGTAACCTCTATACATTATTAATCAAGAACTACAAGGAGATATCAATCCCTTGAATAAGTATTTAGGCTTTAAAAGATGATAAATTGAGAACAATATTGGAAAGAATATCATCTTGGAGGTTTGGGCACAGTACTCAATAGGTACATATAAGTGTTTGATTCAATAGTAAAGTTGCTCCTAGCGGAGGAGAGGCCATTTACATAATTCGCTAAGATTTTCCCTCATAAATTGCATGGTATGAGAAGAAATGCCGTATTTTCCAAATGTCTTCCCCTCGAGTGTACGGTACAACCTCTGGTGATACATTACCTATGTGCCATGCCACTCTGTTATGCCTATCTATACCTTGTACTGACTGGCACGTGTTTCCTGCGGGAAGATAACGGAAAACGTGGCACCAAATTCCGGGGGTTTTTTTTAAAAAAAAACTGGAGCGCCCCGCTGCCCGAGCCAACTGAGCAACTGTGTTTCTAACCCCTGCCTTCTTCTTTTTTTTTTTTTACCGTAGGCTGTACTAGTGCCAGGGGAGATGTTTTCGTACAAGACAGGGATTGTTTTGC